CCCAGTACAGCGCTTCGCGGTCCCATAGGGGGGCTCCACCGAAACCCCCACTGGCACGCATGCGTCGGCCACTACCCAGCACAGCGCTTCGTGGCCCCGTAGGGAGCTCCACATAAAGACCCCAGTGGCACAGCCCGCGTGCGTCTCCCCAAACCAGTACAGCGCTTCGTGGCCTCATCGGGAGCTCGAGAGAAGGGCACCGCCCGCCTGCGTCCGCCACGCCCATTACAGCGTGTCGTGGCCCATAGGGAGCCCCACCGAATGCCCCAGTGGTACCGCCCGCATGCGCCCCCCCCCCACACTCATTTCGGCACGTCCCGCACGTGGCCCTATGGGAAGCTCCACCGCAAGCGGCACGCACAACGGGTTACTCACAACTGCATATGCTTGGGTCTTTCGCCAGGATAATCTGTAAATTTGTTTTTCCATAACCATCATGTAGTGTTGGGTTTTCGTTTTGAAGAGACGGTCCCCGCGTTCCCTCCCTCCTTCCTTCCTTCCTTCCTTCCTTCCTTCCTCCTCCCTCCTCCTCCTCCCATCCTCCTCCTCCTCCCTCCTCCTCCTCCTCCTCCTCCTCCTCCTCCTCCTTCCTTCCCCTTTCATCTCGTGCCCCATAGGAGCTCCACCGAAGGCCCCAGTGGGGACCACCGCCCTCGCGAGACATCCACCACCCAGCACAGGCAGTTCGTGGCCCCATAGGGAGCTCCACCGAAGGCTCCAGTGGGACCGCCTGCATGCGTCACCCCCACCCGTGAGCGCTTCGTGGCCGCCATAGAGGCTCCACCGAAGGCCCCAGTGGGGGACCGGCCCTATGCGTCATCCACACCCGCACAACGCTTCGTTGGCCCGCATGAGGAGCTCCACCGAAGGCCCCAGTGGGACCGCCCGCATAGCGTCACCCACCACTCCGGCACAGGCAATTTCGTGGCCCCGTTAGGGAAGCTCCACCGAAGGCTCCAGTGGGACGCGTGACGCCGCCGCGCACGCCACCACCCAGTTAAGCGCTTCGTGCCCCCTAATAGAGGGCCTCCACCGAAGGGCCCCAGTGGGACCGCCCGCATGCGTCATCCCAACCCAGCACAACGCTTCGTGGCCCCATGAGGAGCTCCACCGAAGGCCCAGTGGGACCGCCCGCTGCGTCACCCACCACCCAGCACAACACTTCGTGGCCCCCTAGGGGCTCCACCGAAGGCTCAGGTGACCCGCCGTCACCCACCACCCAGTACAGCGCTTCGTGGCCCCATATAGGCTCCACCGAAGGCCCCAGTGGGACCGCCCGCATGCGTCATCCACAACCCAGCACAACGCTTCGTGGCCCCATGAGGAGCTCCACCGAAGGCCCCAGTGGGACCGCCCGCATGCGTCACCCACCACCCGGCACAGCATTTCGTGGCCCCGTAGGGAGCTCCACCGAAGGCTCCAGTGGGACCGCCCGCATGCGTCACCCACCACCCAGTGAAGCGCTTCGTGGCCCCATAGAGGGCTCCACCGAAGGCCCCAGTGGGACCGCCCGCATGCGTCATCCACAACCCAGCACAACGCTTCGTGGCCCCATGAGGAGCTCCACCGAAGGCCCCAGTGGGACCGCCCGCATGCGTCACCCACCACCCGGCACAGCATTTCGTGGCCCCGTAGGGACCTCCACCGAAGGCTCCAGTGGGACCGCCCGCATGCGTCATGCACCACCCCGTACGGCGTTTCGTGGCCCCATAGAGGGCCCCACCGAAGGCCCCAGTGGGGCCGCCCGCATGCGTCATCCACCACGTAGCACAGCAGTTCGTGGCCCCATAGGGAGCTCCACCGAAGGCTCCAGTGGGACCGCCCGCATGCGTCACCCAATGGCGTGTTGGGGTCATATGCGGGCCCGCGTGGGAGGGGGAGGGGGCGAACATAATGATGATGATGATGATGATGATGATGATGATGATGATGATGATGATGATGATGATGATGATGATGATGATGATGATGATGATGATGTGATGCTGATGTGATGATGATGATGGATGATGATGCTGATGATGATGATGATGCGGCTTGAGGTGATGGTGATGGGGGATGGTGATGTTGATGCTGATGCTGATGCTGATGCTGCTGATGATGATGATGATGTTGCTGCTGATGATGACGATGATGGGATGATGATTGGATGGTGATGCTGATGATGATGATGATGATGATGTTGCTGATGCTGATGATGATGATGAGAATGATGATGTTGATGGTGATGCGATTATGATGGATTATGAGGTGAATGACGATGATGATGATGGTGAGGATGATGATGAGAGGATGATGATGATGGTGATGGTGCTGATGATGTTGATGATGCTGCTGATGATGATGATGATGATGATGATGCTGATCATGATTATGATGATGATGATGATGATGATGATGATGATGATGATGATGATGATGATGATGATGATGATGATGATGATGATGATGGCGGTGGTGGTGGTGGTGGTGGTGGTGGTGGTGATGATGTTGAGGAGGAGGAGGAGAAGAGGAGGAGGAGGAGGGAGAAAACAAGAGGAACAAGACGAAGAGAAGAAGGTGGACGAGGATGAGGAGGACGAGGACTAATAATGTGAGGAGGGTGAGAAAAGGGGAGGGGGAGGATGATGATGAGGAGGCGCAGGAGGACGAGGACGAGTGGGAGGATGATAGCGAGGAGGAAGAGGAGGATGAGAGGAGGAGGAGGAGGAGGAGGAGGAGGAGGAGGAAGCGGAGGAGGAGGAGGAGGAGGAGGAGGAGGAGGAGGAAGAGCAGGAGGAGGTGGAGGAAAATGACGAGGACGAGGACAAAGGATACGGACGAGAACGCGGGGACGAGGAGGAGGAAGAGGAGGAGGAGGGGGAGGAGGAAGAGGAGGAGAAACAGGAGGAAGAGGAAAAGGAGGATGATAAGGGCGAGGAGGCCGACGAGGATGAGGACGAGGAGGGGGACGAGGACGAGCAGGGCAAGGAGGAGGACGAGGACCAGACGGCGTCTTGCGTGCATCGGGTGAGCTTCTTGGGCCTCAGGGGGGGGCCGCTTAGGGGGGCTCCTGGGTGCCTCTCGGGTGCCTCTTGGAGGCCTCTTGGGGCTTGTTGGGGCGCCCTTGGCGCCCTCTTGGGGGCCTTGTGGGAGCCATGGGGGGTCCTCTGAGGGCCATCTTGGAGGCGGTCGGTCAAAAGAGGGGGGTCCTCGATGCAGCTCCTTCCCCCGGGGGGGGGGGCCACGATCCTCTTAAGGGGTGTCAAAACGGATCCCCCCAGGGGTCGAACAAGGTTCCTCTGACACATCGGGCCCCCTTCCCAAACAAAACACACATGGAGGGGAGGGGGAGGGCACCCCTCCCCGAAGGGGGGAGGGGTCGTGGAAGAGGACAAAGACCATCGTTAGACCACCTGTCGCCCAGAGGGCTGGTGGGACTAGGCCTCGGCAGGGCTTAGCAAGGCTTGCCACGCTTAGCAGGGCTTATCATAGCATGCCAGGGCTGAGCAGAGCGTGGCAAGGTTTGTAAAAGCTTAGGGGCTTTCCAGGGCTTACCAGGGCTTAGCAAGGCTTAGCAGCGGTTAGCAGGGATGAGCAACGCTTAGCACAACTTACCAGGACTTAGCAGGGCTGGGCAAGGCTTACCAGAGCGTAGCAAGGCCAAACAAGGCTTGGCAGAGCTTCGCATGGCTGGGCATGGCTGAGCAAAGTCTAGCAGTAGCAAGGCGTACCAAGTATTGCCAGGGCGCGCGAGGACTTACCAGGGCTGAGCAGGCAAATGCGGCAAACGAATGGCAGGCTGTGCTGCCTAGTGAAGATGCTGGCAAACTGATGGTATAGCTCAAGAGGGTGAGGAGATAAATGCATCTATATATATATATATATATACATGTTTATATATATACATATAGGCAGAGAGAAAGCGAGAGAGGAAAGATAACGGTAATGGTGAGGAGAAACATGAAAGTTCGTAACAACTCCTTGGGAAGCACCAGGATTCCACAACCCCCAGGCCTCTTCTCCTCCCCATCCTCCCTCCTTTTCGACGTCGTCTCCCCCCTCGTCGCCCTCCTCCTCCTCCTCCAGTAGGGGGACTGCCCCTTCTCCTCCTCCTCCTCCTCTTCCTCCTCCTCCTCTTCCTCCTCTTCCTTCTCCTCGCCCTCCTCCTCCTTCCCCTCCTCCTTCTCCTTCGCCCTCCCGTGGATGGTGAGAGAAGGAGGTGAAGGAGGAGGAGGAGGAGGAGGAGGAGGAGGAGGAGGAGGAGGAGGAGGGAGACCCGGGCGGAGGGAGAAGCCTGTCCGACGGCGGCGTCGGCAAGAGGGGAGGGGGGGCAGGATGAGGACGACAGGCTCAAGGTGGTGGGAGGACGATGGGGAGGAGGTGGTAGTGCACACAAGCACACACGGGGAGGAGCAGGAGGACGAGGACGAGGGACGGGGGCAGGGACAGGGAGAGAACGCAGGAAAAGGGGGAGGAACAGGAGGCGGGGCAACGTTATCTTGACCCTGATGCCCGCAGCCACGAGCCAGGAGTAGGAGGAGGAGGACGGGAAATATCAGCCCTCTCCTCTGAACCTTCACCTTCCCTTCTTCCTCCCAGACCTATTCCTCCTCTCCTTCTGTCTCGAGATCTTCCCCTCCTCTTCCCCACCGCACCCTCTCCTCTCCCTTCCCGCCCTTCTCCCTCCTGCCAGGACGATCACCGAAGGATGCCCTTCGCCCTCCTCCCCCTTCCCTCTCCATCCCTCCTATCCTCCCGCTGTTTCCCTCCCTACCCCCTCCTCGTTCCTCTTTCCTGCCAGTAGGGATGGGGTCCCAGACATGCGATGTCCTGATTTATTCAGTACGGGGTCCCCAGAAGTCCTGACCCTTTCCGCAGGACCAGTGATTCATCCTGATAAGTTTGATTGACGGTCCCGGGGCCCGGCGAGGGCACACAGGTACGGAAGACCGCTCCCATCCAGATTTGTTTTCACATCGCGATCATGTCTGGGGCAGCATGCCTCTGGCTCGCCGGAGGTGGTGCACGGATTCGGGCGAGGCTCCAAGCAGTTGGGCTTCCCCACCGCGAACATGAGGATCGCATGGGAGGTCTCCTGCTCCTGCTGCTGATCCCCTCCTCCTCCTCCTCCTCCTCCTCCTCCTCTTCTTCCTCGTCCTCTTCTCCATGCTCCTCCTCTCCTTCTCCTCCTCCTCCTCCTCCTCCTCCTCCTCCTCCTCCTCCTCCTCCTCCTCCCCCTCCTCCCTCCTCCTCCTCCTCCTCCTCTTTCCTCCTCCTCCTCCTCCTCCTCCTCCTCCCCTCCCCACCACCTCTTCTCGTCTCGCATCCGCCTCCTCCTCGTTCTCCTCCTCCTCCTGCTATCATCCTCTTCTCCTCCTCCTCCTCCTCCTCCTCCTCCTCCTCCTCCTCCTCCTCCCTCCGTCGTCCGTCGCCTCGTGTTTTCATGAGGCACCAAAGTGAAATATCAAACAGGTGTAGAAAGCAACCTGACCCCCTCCCTCCCTCCCTCCCTGGTCGCCCTTCCCCCCAGCCGCCACCCCGCAACAAGAAAATGAGCATCGCCTGGGAGGCCGAGGATCAGTCGGCCCTGACCGAGGAGGAGCTGACCGTGCTGGGGTTCGCGCAGGGCCACGAGACCGGCGTGTACTGCGCCTTCGGCTGCGTTGAGAGCGACCCCGAGAGGCGCGTTCACAAGGTTCGGGCAGACAGCAACATCGCAGGCTTAGAGGTTGACACCAGCACCAATTTCGGCGGTGTGCCTCCACCGATGGAAGAAGATCCCGATCTCGGTGATGGTGGTGATATTCTGTCTTCCAGGGTGGCCGAAATGTTACCACCAACACCGAAATCTGGGATCCTCTTCCCCCTGTGGAGGCACCCCCCTGTGCTGGTGTTGGTGCCCATCTCCAGGCCCCCGACAACAGGGGGCAACCGACCGGGCTGCGCCAGCACGTGTGGACGTTTCCGCAGATGGTTGGGGTACGCCGGGGCAGTGCGGGGCCGCCCGCACGCCCGATGAGGCAGCCTGGGCCCCCGAGAGGCGACCCCGAGAGGCGCGTTCACAAGGTTCGGGCAGACAGCGACAGGGGGCAACCGACAGGGCTGCGCCGGCACGCGTGGGCGTTTTTCCGCAGATGGTGGGGCTACGCCGGGGCAGTGCGGGGCCGCCCGCACGCCCGAGGAGGCAGTCTGGGCCCCCGCAGTCCGTGGCCCGGCGTGCCCCCCGTGTCGTGCCAGGAGGAGGAGGAGGAGGAGGAGGAGGAGGAGGAGGTGGAGGAGGAGGAGGAGGAGGAGGAGAGGAGGAGGAGGAGAGGAGGAGGAGGAGGAGGAGGACGAGGAGGAGGAGGAGGAGGACGAGGAGGATGAGGACGAGGAGGACGAGGAGGAGGAGGACGAGGAGGAGGAGGAGGAGGAGGAGGAGGAGGAGGAGGAGAAGGAGGAGGAGGAGGAGTGAACGCCCGCCCCCCCTTATCGTGTCTGTGCAAGGCGGTTTGGGGTATGCCGTAGCCGTGTGGAGTCTCGGTGCCGAACGGTATCGCCCGGCACAGAACCGCCGCCCGAGTGGATGTTTCAGGTTCCCTGCAACCCGGCGGACTGCTTTCCACGGTCAGCCGCCCCCCCCCCCCTTGGACCGTCCGCTCGAGAGGTGGCCATGAGCATGGGCTGGAACCCCACGTTCACGGACGTGAAGGCCAGGCGGCCCCGACCGCGGCTCGACTTCTGTCAGGAGGGAGAGAAACACACAGGCACTGATAATCGTCGATTCCCGGGAAAAGATGGGAAACTATGGGAAGTGGGGAGGGGAAAGACGAAACTCCAGAAGACATGAGAAAAGATCGGGACTCCTGGCATTTGTGCGTGTATTTGTTTGTATGTCCCTGGGCCCCTTCATTCTGCCAGACAAGGGGAGGGCTCGCCCCGACGAGGGGCCCCTCCTCCCCCTGCTCCACCTCCTTCTCCTCCTCCTCCTCCTCCTCCTCCTCCTCCTCCTTCTCCTCCTCCTCCTCCTCCTCCTCCTCCTCCTCCTCCTCCTCCTCCTCCTCCTCCCCCCTGCTCCTCCTCCTCCTCCTCCTCCTCCTCCTCTTCTCCTCCTCCTCCCCTCCTCCTCCTCCTCCTCCTCCTCCTCCTCCTCCTCCTCCTCCTCCTCCTCCTCCTCCTCCTCCTCCTCCGCCCCCCCCCTCCCAGCCCCACCTTGGGATAACCCTCTCTCTGGGAACCCTCCCCCCCTCTCTCTCGAAGCGGCCTGTGCCGTTCCCGATGCGCCCACAAACACGCGCAGGCCCCGCCGCAAGCGGGGGGCCCGGCCGACGCGCGAGCGGGGGCCCCTGCAGACGCTCCCCGGGGGCTCTCGTATCCAGAGAGGGGGAGGCAGAGGGGAAGGCCCTTGTATCCAGAGAGGGGGAGGGAGAAGGGGATGCCCTTGTATCCAGAGAGGGGGGGGGAGAGGGGGAGGCCACCTTACAATCCCGAACTTGATCCTGAGGTTAAGTCGGCCCCGTCCCTCTGCAGGAGGAGTATTCAAGAATAGTCAACAAATAGACGGAGCGCCGGGCCCGCGAGCTACGAGCGACCATGGCAGACTCCGAATTCCTACTCCGCCAGGCGACCTGGGCTTGCTGGTTCAACGGCGCGGCGATCTTGCACCTGGACGCCGCCGTATCGCACTACGAGTTTCGAGTGTGGACCGCGTCCCGGGTGCGGGAGCGAATCGAGGGCGTCGCCGACGCGGCGCTCGACGACGCCGACCGCGCCACCAAGCGGCGCAAGCTGTGGCAGCGGACCTGTCTGTCCATCCTGCAGGAGACGGCGCCGGAGGCTTCTGATCGTTCCTGGCGGCGACGGCCGAGGCGCTGGCACCTCGTTTTTCTGATGCCCGCCAGGCGGGCGGCGCTGGCGCAGCAGGTCGTGGCCGCTCTCCTGACGGCCGCCCCGCCGCGAGTCAGAGCCGCACTCCTGCGAACAGGGTTCAACGGATGGTGCACCGGCGTCTTCAGCAGCGCAGCTCCCGATGTGTGTTCGGGTGCGCCCACGAAGATTCCATTGAACACGATGCTGCGTGCTCAGTGGTGCGGGATCTCGCGTGGCGGAGCCTCGCCATCCCTCGCTCCACGGCCCCTCTTTCTGACTTCCTCCTCCTCCTCGCCTCCGAGCCTGCCCGCTGACTGCGTCCTGCGTTCAGCTGTTCGCACTGCGGCGGTGTACTTGGTGCACTGCCGCGCGAAGCACGCCGCCGGGGCCGGCGCGCCCACTGCAGCCACACTTGGCTAGGCCGCTTTGGAGCTCGTCCGCGGGCACCCGCTCGCGGCCGCCGTGGCGCAAGCCCATGCCGGATCGCGCGCCCCGCCGCGCCGCCAGAGGCGGCCGTAGCTCTATCGAGGCCGTTTTCGGGGCCCTCTCTCTGCACGCTACCGCCATGCCGCAGCGCGCCAAATGCTGGATGGGCTGGCGTGGCGCCGCGGCGGCGTGACGCCGTGACGCAGACATGATTCCGATATTTCAACCATTCGGACACTTAAGCCAAAGGTAGCGTTTTTGTCTTGGCGCAGCCTGCCAAAAGGTCACGCTTCTGCCTTGCCGCAGCGCGCCAAAGGTAACGTTTTTGTCTTGGCGCTCGTTTCTGCCCCAGCTTTGGGCTGGGCCAGGCCAGGGCATAGGGGGCTGACGGCAAGGCGGGGGGGGGCACCGCGCGCGCGCAGCGCCTCTGACTGCTACGACCCCAGGACGGCGGAGCGCCCGCCGCCCTCGGAGGCGCCAGGAGAGGAGGCTGGCGTCCGCTCAGGTCCAGCGCTGGCCCGATCGTGTGGGGACCGGGTGCTGGCCTTGCGTTTTGATGATTGTGCCGTGGTGCAGGGCCATCGTTGGCTCGATCGTGAGGGGATCGGGCGGTTTGCCATGCTGTGCGCTCTCGTGGCGGCTGGGCCGACGCGCTTGGTTCGCCTGCTGGACCCTCGCGGTCCCGTTCTGACGCCTGGGCCTATGCGCCGTGGTGGGCCCTGTCGGGTGTCTGGAAGTGGCGGCCGAAGTTTCGTGCTTGCCGTGGGAACTTTCTGAGAATGAGGGCCCCTGCGGTCCTGCTCTTTGGCTCTTGGGCCTAAGTGCTCCAGGCGACCGCGTGGTGTCGACGAACTTGCGGAGGGTAGTCAGTTGGCCTGGGCCCACCGACCGCTCCTCTATTGGATCCAAAGACACATACACATACACACGCACACGCACGCGCGCACACGCACGTACGCACGGACGCACGCACGCACGGACGCACGCACGCAAGCTCAACACACACACAAACAAACAAACAAACAAACAAACACACACACATACACACACACGCACGCACGCACGCACGCACGCACGCACACACACACACACATTCACACACACACACACATTCACACACACACACACACACACACGCGCTCGCACGCACGCACGCACACACAATCACATACACATGCCCCCCAAAAAAACACACACATACTTTCACACACATGCTTTCACACACACACACACACACACACACGCACACACACACACACACACACATACGCACGCACTTTCACACACAGACACACACAGTGTCTCTCTCTGTCTCTCTTTCTCTCTCTCTCTCTCACACACTTTTGGCGATCACAGCCTCGCGGCGCGCAGCGACGAGGCGGAATCAGTGAGCCAGAGAAAACTAACAACGCGCGCGGCCAGCCTTTCAGAAGATGGGGCAGGGATCCACAAGGATCGACCACACCATGCGCATATTCGGGCTTGGACAGCGAGTGTGGAGGAACAGCCCGCAGCGAACGAAAGGCGGAAGTGGAGGCGCAGTGTCGCCAGATGAGGACACGAAGCCAAATACATACAGCAGGTCAAGCGGCAGCGGGACACTGGGGAAGCATTGTGCTCACAGGCATGTTTCGTGTTGGCAAACCTGCTCCGCGTCATCGAGAGGGGATCTCGGGGGGTCAACGGATTACATCTGGCGGAATCGGGTCGAGCGCTCTCTGCCAGCAGAGGCGAAGACGATCGAGCCGTGGATCATGCACTCCTTCGCCGAAGACTTCTACGGCAGCCACCTGCGCCTCCTGGTGCTCGGGTACGTCCGGCCCGAGCTGAAGTTCTCCAGCCTGGAGGAGCTCGGGCGTGCCCAGGATAGGAATAGATCGTTCCTAAACGCTCTCAGAGTGCTGTGGAGCGCTCTGGAACGACCGCGGCACCCTGTAATCTTCCAGAATCGCCAGACCTCAGAGATCCCCGATTTCTGTCGGTACGATTTTGTCCGGGTCCTGGCTTCGTCTGAGGAGCTGACCGCGGAGATCTCCGCGGACGGTGACTTCTGCCGCGACGCGCTCGACGACCTCCGCCTCGCACCGCTCCGCTCGGACCTCAGCGGGCCGCGGAAGCGGCGGAGCAGTCCGTTTATTTTTGCCCGTTTCCGAGCATCGGCCTTCGAAAGCTTTCGAGACAGAAAGAAACGGCTCCGGAGTCGGAGCCCAGCTCCGGAGTCGGAACCCAGCTCCGGAATCGGGGCCAGGCCCGGAATCAGAGCAACATTGGCGACGGTTGAGGGAACAAAAAGTGGAAAACGGAAGCGGAACAAGTACAGTCACGACGCCGAAGTGAGGACCAGTTCGTGTTCGGAAGGGCTTCGCTGTTGCTGAAGTCCTTCCACGGCTGTTCCTCTATCTCTCCTCGTGCATCCAGGAGGCTTTCGGGGCCCAAAGGGACCTCGCTCCTTACTTAGCCTTCCGTATGGTAGTGCTTAGCTTGATTGTAACGGCCCCCGCTGGCTGGAACTTTGGAACCCGCACCCGCTTGGCAGCAACCCGCGAAAATTATCTGAGCAAGGGCGGGTCCCAAGCATGACGATAGGTCGGGCATGTCCTCCTACATGCGGATTTTGGAGGACAAATCAAAAATAGTCAAACATCATACCAACATGTCGAAAAGAAGTGCTCAAATGAGCCTGGCGAAGAACCCAACCATATGCAGTTGTGAGTACCGCAGCTGTGGGTTTCATCTTTTGTGGAACTCCCCATAGGACCACGGAACGTGTGAGGGGTGAGCCGAGATGGGTGCCTCTGGGGCTTTCGGTGAAGCTCCCTATGGGGCCATGAAACGCGTGCGGGGTGTGCCGACATGGGTGGCGGAAGCGCATGTGAGGGCCGCCACTGGGGCCTCCAGTGGAGCTCCCTATGGAGCCCCGAAACATGCGGGGGGGGTGCCGGGATGGGGGGCAGAGACGCATGTAAGTGCCGCCACTGGGGCCGTCGGCGGAGCTCCCTATGGGGCCACGAAGCGTGTGAGGGGTGCACCGGGACGTGTGGCGGGGACGCATGTGCGCGCCGCCACTGGGGCCTTCGGTGGAGCTCCTTATGGGGCCACGAAACGTGTGAGGGGTGTGCCGAACTGCGTGCGGGTGACGCATGCGGGCGGTGCCACTGGGACCTTCGGTGGGGCTCCCTATGGGGCCACGAAACCTGTGAGGGGCGTGCCGGGATGGGTGGTGGGGACGCATGTGAGCGCGGCCACTGGGGCCTTCGGTGGAGCTCCCTATGGGGCCACGAAACGTGTGAGCGGTGTGCCGAATTGGGTGGGTGTGGGTGACGCATGTGAGCGCGGCCACTGGGGCCTCCGGTGGAGCTCCCTATGGGGCCACGAAGCGTGTGAGGGGTGTGCCGAATTGGGTGTGCGGGACGCATGCGCATGCGGGCGGCGGCGCTGAGGCTTTCGGTGGAGCTCCCTATGGGGCCACGAAACGTGTGAGGGTTGTGCCGAAGTGGGTGTGCGGGACGCATGCGGGTGGCAGCACTGGGGCCGTCGGTGGAGCTCCTTATGGGGCTACGAAGCGTGTGAGGGGGGGTATGCCGAAGTGTGTGTGCGGCACGCATGCGGGCGGCGGCACTGGGGCCTTCGGTGGAGCTCCCTATGGGGCCACGAAACGTGTGAGGGGTATGCCGGATTTGGTGTGCGGGACGCATGCGGGCGGCGGCACTGAGGCCTTCGGTGGAGCCCCCTATGGGGCTACGAAATGTGTGAGGGGTGTGCCGAATCGTGTGTACGGGACGCATGCGGGCGGCGGCACTGGGGCCTTCGGTGGAGCCCCCTATGGGGCCACGAAGCGTGTGAGGGGTGTGCCGAATTGGGTGTGCGGGACGCATGCGGGCGGCGGGCACTGGGGCCTTCGGTGGAGCTTCCTATGGGGCCACGAAACGTGTGAGGGGTGTGCCGAATTGGGTGTGCGGGACGCATGCGGGCGGCGGCACTGAGGCCTTCGGTGGAGCTCCATACGGGGCCACGAAACGTGTGAGGGGTGTGCCGACTTGGGTGTGCGGGACGCATGCGGGCGGCGGCACTGGGGCCTTCGGTGGAGCCCCCTTATGGGGCCACGAATTGTGTGAGGGGTGTGCCGACTTGGGTGTGCGGGACGCATGCGGGCGGCGGCACTGGGGCCGTCGGTGGAGCTCCCTATGGGGCCACGAAGCGTGTGAGGGGTGTGCCGAATTGGGTGTGCGGGACGCATGCGGGCGGCGGCACTGTAGCAAAAAGAAGGGCTCAAAAGATCATCCCCCGACCATTTTTTCCCATTTTGGAATATTCTTCCTGTAGAGGGACAGGCCCGACTAATGCATGACGTTCTAGCTAGCCGATGGCCCAGGCGACGCGAGCGAGGGGGCTCGGGCCAAGGGCCACGACCCCTCAGACCTGACGTTAAGTCGGGCGTGTCCCTCTACAGAAGGAGCATTCCCAAATAGTCAAAAAATAGTATGGGGACGATGTTTTCCGTACTTTTTATTTTGTGGGGGGCATTTTTTGAGTATCTTGCATTTGTCGCCCAAGATCCGCCTGAGGAGGACACGCCCGACCTAAACCTGACGTCGCACAAAAGTGTAACATCGCATGCAACAGCGACCGGAGCCCCAGACCCCATGCATCCCGGCGTCAGTTTTAGAGCCGGATCGTTCTGCGAGGGTTGCCGGGGCCCGACGCCAGGCGAGCACGCCCGGCCTTGGATCGGGGGCGGAAAAGAGGGGGGTGATCACTAGGGGGGGTGGATATCATGGCGTGGGCCATGATATTTCCAAGATTTCATGGCGCCTCTTCTTATTTCATGACGTCCCTAGCCCCCCCGCTGGGCCGCGCACATGCCGCCGGTCATGATCTGCACCCCCCCCTCTTGGACGCCCCCCTCTTGGCCGCTCCCGATTGGAAGAGTAGCAACGCCAGGATGTCAGGGACTGCGCGACGGCTCTGTCGCTTCCAGGGCCCACTGAGGCGCGGACCCGTGGCTGACGGCGCGCGCCTCTCCGGCGGCCCCCCCCGAGAGCCCCCGCCGCCGGCCGGCGGCCGGGGCGCCGCGGCCAGCGCCGCCCGCGCTGGCCGCGCTGCTGCCGCGCGCGGGGGGCGGCGGCTTGCGCGAGGCGCTGCGGCGGCTCCCGCCGCTGGGTCTTCGAGAGGGGAAAAGTAGTCCAGATTTCGTAATAAAAGGGAGGGGGTCTGGACCCTCCAAGGCAAGCCATGTCAGACCCCCCCGGGAACCCTCCAGAACATCGTCCCCAGACCCCCCCAGGCCCTCCAAGATAGCCTGGATGAGACCCCCCCCGAAATGAGACCCCCCTCCCTTTATTACGAAATCTGGAGTACGGTCGGACCGAGGTATGGCAGGGGGAGCGACAATGACATAAACATAAAAAAATAACTCAGAGTTCCGCGCGGATCTGCGCTGCGGCGGCTCCCGCCGCTGGGTCTTCGAGAGGGGAAAAATACGGTCGGACCGAGGTGTGACAGGGGGAACGACACTGACACAAACATATTAAAAACTCCGAGTTCCGCGCGGATCTGCGCTGCGGCGGCTCCCGCCGCTGGGTCTCCGAGAGGGGAAAAAGTACGGTCGGACCGAGGTATGACAGGGGGGGCGACAATGACATAAACATAAAAAAACTCGGAGTTCCGCGCGGATCTGCGCTGCGGCGGCTCCCGCCGCTGGGTCTTCGAAAAATACGGTCGGACCGAGGTATGACAGGGGGAACGACACTGACACAACCATAAAAAACTCGGAGTTCCGCGCGGATCTGCGCTGCGGCGGCTCCCGCCGCTGGGTCTTCGAGAGGGGAAAAAGTACGGTCGGACCGAGGTATGACAGGGGGGACGACAATGACATAAACATAAAACAACTCGGAGTTCCGCGCGGATCTCTCGGGTCCGCGCTGGGCCCCCTTGGCGGCGCCTCCGGCGCCGCCGCTGGCGCGGGCGCGCTCCGCGCGGACCTCCGATTGTTTTTTTGTTTCTGTCATGTTTCGTTCCCCTACATCAGATCGAGGTCGGTTCGGGGAGGGTGCCCTGCAGGTTCTCGAATGATGTATTATTCTGCCCTGGGTCCGACTGTGCCGATACGGCTACCCCATGCTCGTGTTCCCCTTTGTTGGCTTCCTGGGAGGCCCTTCGTCGCCACTGCTGGATTCGCTTCGAAATCCTAGAGTCAAAACCCATAGTAAGGACGGGTAAGCTTCCCATGGGCACCCTGGCGTCCTCAGATCTGCTGGGCAGCGTGCTGCTAGAAAACTTCAGCTGGGGCGTCGAAGCGCCGTCCAAGGGCCTTGCGTCCTTGCAGCTCATCCTCACTGCAGATTTTGACCCCAGTCAGAACGCACCCCGGGAGAGGTCCAGGGAGCAGCGGTATCGGTACCTTGTGGTTTCCCCAGGTCCGGGCCGTGCGAGGGTGCTGCTGGTCGGGGCTCACGCAACGGGGGCCACGTGCCCCGAGATCCTGGCCTTTTGTGCAGCTTTTCCACAACGGCCGTTTTGTCGCCCCCGGTGCCGGGCCCTGGGGCCCTCACAGATCGAGCGGACTCGAAAAATGACTAGTGAGATGGGGTCTAGGCCTATGATGTTCCAACCTACTTTCTAGCCTTGGCCGCAAGAAAGAATTTCGAGCACCAGGAAAGTACCGAAGCTGGAGGGTTTTCACGTGTCGGGCCCTGGGAGGCGAGACTCGTTCGACACTGTTTCGATATTGTTCGGGGTGCTTGGAATTATTTATGGGATGTTGTCCTTAAGTACGATGGGAGCAACATGCGTCTAGGCCTTTTTTTGCGATGTTCTTTTTTAGCCGCGTCAGATCTGAGGGATCGTGACGAACGGGGGTCAGCAAATCCCCTCTGGCCGACCCGGGCTTGCGAGGCGCGTGGGGCCGATCCCCCGTCTCCGCCTTCCGCTGGCCCGGGTTTGGGAGCTACTAAGCGGCAGGGGCCGGGCTTCGCGACAGGGTTGGGTCGGGCATGTCCTTTACAGGAGGAGTCTTCAACAATAGTCTGGGGACGTTTTTTTGTTGGGGGGGGGTTCTGTGTGTGTTTTGTGTATATATATATATGTATATATAATATATGTTATATATATGTGTATATAGAACATATATATATATATATATATACATACATATTTGAGCAATTGAAGATAATTGTTCAAAATCCCCCTGTAGGAGGACACGCCCGACCTAACGACAGGGCCCTGGCCGACCCGGGTTTGGGCTGACCCGCATTTGGGCTGACCCGGGTCGGGGCTGACCCGGGCCGTGCGAGCGTGCTGCGCTGCTGGCCCCAGGGGCCTGCACGGTCGAGATGGTTACCTACGGCAAGATTGGGCACGAAGACCGACAGCAATTCCGATCCATGTTTGGACAGGACTCGCGTCGTCGGTGTCGCCGCGGGCGTTGCCTATTTCACCACCTACCAAACCACCCCAACCCAACCCGAAGGCCTCGATTTGCCCTCCATTTCCAGTGGGGGGGGGGTCGGGGAACATCGAGAAAACACGTATGGAACCCGTACCCCCCCCCCAACCCGAAATTCGGGTCTTCGGGTTGGGTTGGGGTGGCCTGGTAGGTAGTCACCATTTGAGACCTCTACCATCCTGTCTCTCTCTCTCTCTCTCTCTGTGCAGCCGCCGAATGGGGGAGGGGGGGGGTGCATCGCGACGTGTAGGTTGTGGGCCGGCCCCGCAGGTCCGCCACGGGGAGGCCGTTGCCAACCAGTCAGAGGGGAGACCCGGAGGGGGGGGGGCAGGCCCTGGGAGGGGGGACCGCCACCGGGGGCCTTCGCCAGGGAGGGCGGTGCTCTACCCCCCGGCCCCGTCGGACCCTGGCAGAACAGGGGGCGGCGAGCAGTACTGGGGGTGCGATGAATGGGGGGCGGCGAGAGGTGCACCTGGTGCACCCTCAAGCGGGGCACGAAAAGAGCGCGTTTCTCCCCCCTCTCCCCCTTGAAGGAGCGCCCGAGAGCACTGCCCTCCCACCTGTGGGGCCCTCCCATCGGGCCCTCGGGTGGCGCCGGCCGTGCACCACCGCTCTCACCGGCCCTGGCCCGGTCGACCCTGCGCAAGGGATCGGTGCATATGGCATGCCAGGAGCCGATGGAGGAAAGTCGAAGAACAAACAGCTGCATAAACATCAGCTCTTGGATCTGCGCGGGGCCCCGCTGGCGGCGCCGCCCCTGGCGCGCGGAGCCCGCCAGGGAAGGGTGTCCAACGCAGATCCAAGAAGTGTGCGTGGACTTCCGAACGCTTTCGGTAGGGGCGTTGGTCAAGGAGTGCGCCCAAGAGGCTGCAGACCCTGGAGGATTCTTCTCTGATGAGGGTGCCGCGGCCGATCCATGGTTGGAGTTCCACCGGCTTCTAGACCCAGGATTCCTCATCCAGTGGTTCCTTATCCAATGCCCCCACCGTGTGTGTATGCAGTTGTCTGTTCCTCGAGTACGGACCACCCCCGACTGGCCCATGGGACTTCGGGACAAGCCGGCTTCGCGTGCCGCCTTCGCCGGCGTCCGGCCCACCACGCCTCGGCGCGAGAAGCGCCCACTTCCCAGCTCCCAGGCGCCGACATCCCGAGCTTTTCCCAGCCTCCCTGATGGGCCTGTTTTCCACCACCACCACCACCATAAGTTGGAGGGGGAGGAGGTCCTCCTCCTCCTCCTCCTCCTCCTCCTCCTCCTCCTCCTCCTCCTCCTCCTCCTCCTCCTCCTCCTCCTCCTCCTCCTCCTCCCCCCCTCCAACGTATGCTGGTGGTGGTGGATAACAGGCCCATCATTCCCTCCCCGCGAAGCGGAGCCACACGCTATGAACTCACACTGCACGGTGTCGCCAGGGCCGCCGACGCGGCACGCTGAGCAGGCATTCCTGCCCCCAGCCTGCGCTCGTTTTCAAGCGGTCTGGTGCGGTTCTTGGGCAGCCTTGCCTTGCTCGATTCTTTTCGTGGGTGCGCTTGCTGATGGGCCTCGTCTGAAGGGGTGGCCACGGTGCGGGCGGCTCTTTCGCCTGAGCTCGGGAGGGCGCACGCGCCGATCTCGGGCCCACCGAGCCCGCGCCCGAGCTCGAGCCCGAATCCGACCCCGAGACCGAGCGCAAGCGCGAGCGCGGGCGCCATGGCGAGCGCGCGCCCGAGGCCGCGCCCGAGCCCAAGACCGAGCCCGAGCGCGACCACGAGCGTGAGTCCGAGCGCGAGCGCCCGAGCACGGGACCGAGGCCGAAGAGCGAGCCCGAGCTCGAGCTCGAGCCCGAGCCCGAGCCCGAGCCCGAGCGCCCAGCCCCGAGCCCCGAGGCCGAGGCCGAGAGTCTACGCAGGTGCATGGCTGGCGCCCTGTGCTCGGCACGACGGAAGCGGGTCCCGAGGGAAGCGGGCCCCGGACCCCGGGGGCCTCCCTCCGGGCCCAGGCCTCCCTCCCGAGCCCCTTCTCCCCGACGGAGGCCCGTTCCCCTCGGGACCCGCCTCCCCTCACGGCGACCCCTGGCCCCCCATATAGGGGAACGAGCAATGGTATGGCCGTAAGAACTCGGAGGTCCGCGCGGCTTTCTCGGACCGGCGCTGGGGACCGCCTGCTGGCGCCTCCGGCGCCGCCCCTGGCGCGGCCCCTGCGCGCCGGGGAGGGCCGTCCAGCGCGGATCCGAGAAATCCGCGCGGAGCTCCGAGCTTTTATGCTCATGCCGTTGTCCGTCCCCCCGCCCCCCGAGATCCCCCTCCGAGCCGGCAGGGCAGGCTGTGCGGCGGCGGCACCGACTCGGAGCTCAGCGCGCTGGGGCGCGGGCAGGCGGGGCGCCTGGCGGCGGAGCTGGCCGGCGCGGGGCTCTCTCCGTCGCCCGCGCTCGTGGGCTCTCGGAGAGAAGGGCGGTCGGTACGGTCGAGGTCCTCCTCCTACTCCTCCTCCTTCTCCTCCTCCTCCTCCTCCTCCTCCTCCTCCTGCTCCTCCTCCCTCCTCCTCCTCCTCCTCCTCCTCCTCCTCCTCCTCCTCCTCCTCTCCTCCCTCCTCCTCCTCCTCCTCCTCCTCCTCCTCC